CCGACTGCCGGCGCCCCGGCCTGGGCAGCGCACTGGGATCCCCGCGGGGACCCGCCCCGCCCCGCCGGCCGCGATTGGCGCCAGGCGCTGGAGGCCCCGCCCCCAGCCTTTTCTGCGAGGGCGGAGGCTCAGCCGCTGCTCTTGGGGGCTTGCTCGCAGCGCTAATAAAGGACATCGTCTACACTCCTGGTTGCCTTCTCCACTCTGGGTGGAGCAATCAAGCAGCCAGCGTCGCAAATGTACAAGGCAGAGCCGGCTTTTTGCGCGGAGGTGAGCTCTTGTATTATTGCTGGACACATTCCAGAGCTGCTCAGCGCAGCTCGCAAAGACACGCTTGCTTCCACCCTCAGCTCCCTCTGTGCAAAAATGAAGTTTAGTTCCTACCTATGGGGGCTTTTTACCATCTTGTACCATCTAGACTGGGGGTGGGCAATTATTTTGGGTGGAGGACTGCTTGCTGAGTTTTGGCAAGCTATCGACAGGCAGCTGGGGCAGACATATTAATTTTCTAAATTTTTAGGGGCCCCACGGGCCGGATAGAATGGCCTGGCGGGCCGCATCCAGCCCGCGGGCCACGTTTTGTCCTGATCTAGACTTTTCCCAGAGCCCGATGAAGGGGCTTTGACCCCAAAAGCTTCCAGAAAAGGACAGTTTTCTTGCGATTTCCCAGTTGGTCTAATAAAAGGTATTGTTTGGGAACCAAGATTTCTGGTTTTTTGTACGATCATTGTATTAGACCAGTGAAATCGTTGGGAAACTTGTGCTTTGCCAGAAGGACGTTTGTGCCCGCAAGCTTGCAGAGAACAAGGTTTCCAGTGATTTCACTAGTCTGATAAAAGATCTAGGCAGGCGAGGTGCTCTGAGCAGATGTGACGTCTTTTATGAGACCAGTGAAATCGTTGGAAAACTTGTTTTTTGCGAAGTTCTTTGGGTGAACATGGTATCTTTTATTCCGGGGTTTTTGTTGTAGCCATGTTGATCTAAGGACATAGGCAGGCAAGGCTCTTCGAGCAAGGCAAGGTTCTGTGATATCTTTTATTTAGGGTTGGCCATCATAAAAGACATTCCAGCTGCTCTGTCCTCTATTGATACAAAACTTGGCGCCTTTATGTCCTCTGTTTTTCTCTTTAAGAGAAAAACAGAGGACATAAAGGCATCCAGTTTCGTATCAATAAAGGACAGAGGACAACCAGACTGTCCTGTATGATGGCCACCCTACCTTTATTAAACTAACTAAATAGTTGGAAAAAAGTTCTTAGCAAGTGTCACATAACACTTAGGTGCCCTGCTCCTTTTAAAGAGGGAAACTCTTTAAGTGAGGAGCCCCAGCTGCTGGTTGCCAGGGCAACCAGTTAGCTAGTGACCCACACCCCCCAGCGGTCAGCTGACCGGAAGGGGCAGGGCCTGGCTCGCATTTAAACCCCAGGGCTGGGGCCAGGCTGGTAGTTCCGTGCCAGTAGCCAAGGGGGAAGGAGCTCTCCCAGAGCAACCAAATGGAAGAGGCCTGACTGCACGAGCAGCTTCTGATACTGTGGTGGGATAGCGTTTTCCCCGGTAGGGTTTCAGTGATGTTATAGCCGGGCGGCTGGAGTTTGTTACAGCCCAGGGGCTTGCGTTTGATTTATTATTATATAATACCATTGGTTTGGGTGAGGCTATTAGGGGATGGAGGAGGCCTCATAGGGGACCCATGGCAGCATGGGGACCCTGAGCGCCAGAGAGGACGCAGTATTGAGGGCTCACCGCCCCTGGCACCAGAGAGGGTGCAGAGCAAGACAGGGCCACGGAGAGCCCAGGGAGGACAAGGGGGCCAAATTATAACAAGGCCAGACCAAACAATGTCGATTCCATCTGCTAGGCTTGGGGCATGGTAAAAGGATGGTTGGAGCCACGCATAGCCCATAAAGCTAGGGTGCCCCAAAACACCCATTACAGAACAGGACCCACAAGGGGTTTGGGGTCTGCAGGGTCAGATATTGCAGCAAACCGTGTCCAAGAAGACATGAAGGCAGCCTCTCATATATTATATATTTTATCATCAAAGACATGGCGGGCAAAAATTGAGGGTGCCCTTTGGGCCAGCTTAACACGGGAAGGGGGCCTTGGGGAGATCACGGCCATCCTACAGGACCCCGTGCCATGACAGCAAGCTTTCAGGCGCAGTCATCCTTCTTCAGGCATAGGGCCATTTCAGATGGTAAAATTCAATAGCTTCCATGTTGCTGAAGAAGGGTGACTGCGCCCAGAAGCTTGCTAAGAAGTATTTTCCAACTATTTAGTTCATCTAATAAAAGTTTCCGCATCTGCTCAAAGAACCTTGCCTGCCTATGTCCTTAGACCAACATAACTACAATCAAAAACCCCATAATAAAAGATATCACATATACCCAAGGAACCTTGCAAAGAACAAGTTTTTCAACGGTTTCGTTGGTCTAATAAAAGATATAATATTCACCCAAAGAACCTGGTCTGCCTGTGTCCTGAGACCAACAGGGCTACCACCAAAAACCCAGCAACATAAAAAATATTGAATTTTGCTACCTGAAATGGCCCTATGCCTGAAGAAGAGCGACTGCACCCAAAAGCTTGCCAAGAACTTTTTTCCAACTACTCAGTTGGTCTAATAAAAAGATATCACATCTACTCAAAGAACCTTGCCTGCCTATATCCTTAGGCCAACACAGCTACAACCAGGGGCTATGTATAGCAGGTGCATATGGGTGGTTGTGCACCCTCTGAGTGTTGCGGTGCATCCCCTACAAAAAGGTGCCACTGACAGTGTCACCTCTAGTTGTAGCCTGTGGGCAGTTGCCGCTTACTACCCTGTTGCCAACACTGCCGGCGGTGTCTGCAGGCAGTCCGTGATCCGTGCTGGCTGCTGCTGATGCTGCCAGCGGTGACTGTGTGTGGTTGCCGACCCCAGGTCGGTGCTTGCTCCCCACCACCGACAGCACTGGCAGTGTCTGCGGGAGCTTTCCCACTTACCGCCACTGCTCCTGCTGCGACTGCCACACTCCTATTACCACTGTGCCCCCACAGCCTCTGGGGGCACACATCATTCATGGCTACAGCCAAAAACCCAATAATAAAAGATATCACATCTACCCAAAGAAACTTGCAAAGAACAAGTTTTCCACTGATTTCGTTGGTCTAATAAAAAATATCACATTCACCCAAAGAACCCAGTCTGCCTGTGTCCTTAGACCAACAGAGTTACGACCAACAAGCCCAAAATGCATGATAATTTTTGAGGTGACTAATATATACAAACCCCAAGCCACTCTCAGGGAGTCTTAATCACCTTTTGGGTTTGCTTTCAGCCCTTCCTTATGATTGCTTGTCTTCGAATAAAGAAATGCTTCAACTTTGATGGCCCAGTTCTTACTCACCTGCTGTTATAGTGAGGAATATAAAGTAACTAAGACTTATTTGCATGCTTATTTGCACACATTTTTTGTTCGGTGTACAATAGTTTTTTAGAAAATATGATCATTTGAGTTTCCAGTACGATAACTTCATATTTAAATCCTGGCAATGCTGCTCCTCAGTGCTGTGTGGCATGGGCAAGCCTGGGAACGAGGCTGATGGTGGTTCCTGATTCTGCAGCTTGGGCACATCCCCAAATCTGTGGCAGCTCATCACAGTCTTCTAAAAAAAGGGCGGGGGTGGCCTGTCTCCGCCCATGTGTCTGAAGGTGGCTCCTTATTCTCAGGTCCTTATTCCTGGGTCCCAGTTAATCCCAGCTGAATCTCAGCTCCTTATTCAGGTCTGTGTATTTGGCCCACGATATTATTCTACATTTTTATTAGTCAATGTACATTTTTGAGGAACTTAGAATTTTTTTAGAGTGCCTGATTCATTCCTAACAACCTGTGGTTATATAAAGATTAGCTTCAAAAAAGGAACCAGGAACAAGGAGTAAGGAACTGGAAGTGCTGAGGGAGGGAGTCCATTGACTTCACTGGCGGCATCTACGCAAGATGCTAACTGAGCAGTTGCTACTGCACAGTCATTTAGTAGCTGCATACATAAGTACTAAATGACTGCACAGTAACTGGAGTAACTGAATAGTACCATCGCCAAACAGCTTTTTGATGATGGTGACTGCGCAATAACTTGTTACTAATGTACAGTAGTGTCGCGTCATGCTTGGTCCCACACAATGCTACTGCGCAGAAGGAACGAGCTATTGCGCAGTCAGCGTCTCCTGTAGACACAGCCATTATCGTCCACCTGATTCCTTCTAAACCCTTCATTCCACAGGTATTAAGGCTTCTGTCTCCTTTTCTAAGCCCCTGCCA